CTTCTCTAATAGAAGCTAGGTAATGCAAGCAATCATATTATCCGCAAACAATATGCTTTAAAGACTTAGATAACTCTTAGGAATTCTCGAGAATTACAATATTAATAGCAAAGTTCATGATACCAGTGAACTCTAGATATCAGTTTTTCACAAAGAATGAAAGCACATTTTAAAATTAATCACTCCATTCTCTATATAATATTGAAATCATGAATTTAATTTAATGTGCACCTCCTTGTCTCATTATCAAAATTTCTTATCATGTATAAACTTGCGGGATTGCAGTAATGCATAACGTCTCACAATTCTCGAGCACTAATTTGCTTTTCTTTTTTATGAATGACTCTGAAAAGCATATCTCATAGAAAATCTACTTTAAGTCGCTCCATCTTATCTTATAACTTATAAGAATTGGGTCCAAAAGTTTTCTTGTTTCGCAGCCACCAACCATATGCATAGTCATTATTATGAAAACTACTTTATCCGATTTCCTCTATTTCCATAATCAATTGTTCTACAATCATCAGATCCATGTTTTCTTTAAAGGTGAGTGGGATCAGTCTTTTAAATTTGTTCACATTATCTATATCTTGGATGACTATTATCATGAGTCATCAGTTGGTCACATATTTGATCATGTTGCTTAGTAATAGAAGTAGTAATTTCAGTAGCAGCTGGACATGTTATTATTTTCCACCTATCTATTTTGTAACAAAATTTTTAACAACTTGAGAACCTGTCATTCTATTGGTCATCTGTTCCAGTGTATTTGATGGTTCTCATGCTAACTTGAAATTTCAAGTCTTTGGCTAAAACATGACCTTGTCTACTTTAAAAAATTGGAGTCTATCATGAATTTACTTTTATATTTGTTGTTGTTTCCTGTAAACACTCAGGTTTTCCAGTCTTTTCATTCATGTCCTTTCAAATAAATAGGTGATTTACTTTTCCCTCATATAACCCTTCAAAACGGAGGCATTCCAATACTTTTGAGTTTTTTTAATACCCCTTTTGCACAACGGTAAAAGTTTCTTCCTTGTGACTTGAGGTCAGGAGTTTAAATCTCAAAACAAGCCTCTACGCAAAGCGTGGGGAAGACTGCATACATCTGACCCTCCCCAGAGCCCACAATGGTGGGAGCCTCGTGCACTGGGCCACCCTTTAGGAAATTACCCCTTTGGCACACATAATAACAACACCAACAACCACAACCATAACTGCTGCGCCTTCAACGTATATGGAGATCAAACCTAGACTCCCCGGGAGGAGCGACACGACTTTGCCATGTGATTTACTAGGCTACCCTAATACTTTTTAGAATTATTATTATAATCAAACACTATTAACAACAAGAGTTCATCTCAATTTTTTTTTATCCAGAGCAACGTTTTGAGCAGATCTTCCAAAATTTGAATTGTCTTCTCAAATTATCTTTCAATTACGTAATGAAAAGTAATATTGAACCTTTGTCTCGTCTTCAATGTTTTCTTTGTACCTTCAATAAGTTGATCTGTGACATGAATTTCTTTCATTAACTTCCTCTAGTATCCCGTAGGGCCTAAAAGAACTCAAGTCTTAATCACATTGGTAAGTCCTTTCCAGTTCGCTATATCTCTACCCTTTGAAGCACACTTTCGTTGGAGATAACGTGGTCATAGATTTACATTATAATATTCAAACTTGCATGTACTTAGTTTAGCATACAAGTCCTCATAAATTTTTGCAAAATGATCCTCAAATGATTCTCGTGTTTCTTTTTGTTCTGACATGCAATATATCAAAATATCATCAATAAGCATTACTACAAAATAATCCAAGAAGAACGTAAATACTTTACTCATTATAAGATTCATAAAAGTCATCATTATATTATGTCTCTTAATGCTTCAACAACAAGTTATAGTGATCATATCAAGATTGAAAGATTGTCTTTCATCCTTTCTTTTTTTTCCCGTATGAACACATCCATTATTAGCAAGAGAAACATCATCATATATTTCTAATCTATTCAATCAAGAATACTTTGTAAAAGTTAGGACAACTATGAACTGGTCATTCAACTTCAGATAACTCTATTCATCTTTATTTGCCTACTAGAAATAACTCATATTTCTTCACCATATGATCCCCGACTCTAAAATATATGAGCACATCGACAAAAAATACTACAAATTGATCCAAGTTAACCTTGTATGTCAAATTCATTGTGTCCAATGTTTGTTGCATTTTCAATCTAAACACCATCAACAAAATAAAGGAATTAACACTTCAAATGATACCTAACCACATTGATACCATCAACAAAATAAAGGAATTAACACCACAGTTATTTTTTTTAATTAAGATGAAACAATCCTATTCTAGCATCTCTGTTCAATGACCACAAATCAATTTGTTCACCATCATCATCATCATCATCATTCATGCTAGAAATTCTAATGGGACAAGGAGGAAGAGCAGTATATGTTAGAGATTTGTTAAAGGCTATTGGGTCCTCTTTCTTCCATTTTTTCATTCTCCTTTTGTACTTTCCTCACCTAATTGTTTAGTTAGCAAACTGAGGGAACGGAGATCGAGATCGGTACTGTAGGATTAAAGGGAACAAATAAGTTCTTTGGTTTTAAGGGTCTCAAATTAAGTCGGTTGCCGTAGAGAAGTCATGGTAGACACTTTCACGTGTTGGCCAATTTCTCCAATAGCAGAGAGCCAACCCAACTTAAGGGAAACTGGGACCTTGACAGCAAGCTTTTTGGACTTTTTTGCAAGAAACCCCTTACAGAAATGCCATTTGCATTCACTTGTTTCCAAGAAGAAAAAAAATAGTTTATTTGTTTGTGGGCTACTACAGTTGCACTTTTATTTGTTATTGTCTTAGATTTTGTTTTATCTCATTTATCTATAAAATATATTGTACTTTTTCATTTTAGGAGAGAAGAATGATGAAAACTAGCTTTTGTGAGATACTTGGCATGTGACGTGCGACAAGTATTAGTTTGGCAAGCAAGTTGTCTAGTTATGTGAGTTGCGCCGGTTTAAGTCCCAGGACTCACAATATTTGTATTTTCTCTTCATTAAGCAAGGAGTGCAAATTCAATATTTGTTTCTTTTATTTTATTTTTATTTTTCCTATATCCAAATAATTTCGCTTAATGAATCTCCATTTATCCAAGTCCTAACATTTGGTAATACTGCCTGGTTATTTGCTTAATTCTTAATGGACCTAATGATGCTAGCACTGGATAAAGATGGGGAATGCACAAAATGAAAGTTGAATTCACAGTTATTTGACTTCAAATTTCAAGAAAAAACTAAATATGTAATAGTGCTTCGGTAGTTTTTTACCCCCATGAAATTGCTCAGATGGCAGCTATAAATTTTTTATTAGAAAGTAAGTGTCCATAATCGTAAATGTTCGGAGCACTGGATAAAGAGGGGAAAATGCACAAAATGAAAGTTGAATTCGCAGTTATTTGACTTCAAATTTTAAGAAAAAACTAAATATGTAATAGTGCTTCAGCAGCTTTTTACCCCACGAAATTGCTTAGATTGCAGCTATAAATTTTTTATTAGAAAGTAAGTGTCTATAATTGTAAATGTTCGGATAGGCTCACTTATCTTTCAATTTGTCTAAGTTACACGAAGTGACTTGCGTTTTGCTTATATGTTGCAATTCAGCAAGATTAAATTGCATTTACACCTTCTAGTATGTCCTGCTTATATTTATCACCTCTAAACTTGGTAATTAGTTCTGAACACCCTCCATCTAATTAGAGAAGTATTTTTCATGCAATTTTGTTTTGATAATAGTCATATCCCTTCTTATATTCAGGGCCCGTCTCACTCTTTCATGTTTCTTCTTGTCTCTCTCTTCCCTCTCTCTCTGTGCTGTCTTCTTATAGTTTCTCCATCATGCTCTCCTCAATCCCTTTGTTCCTTTCTTTCTTATGTACCGATGTACCCGTTTGATGTTTCAATTTTATAATATACGTTTGAACTTGGATACTTGCTGAATACCTCTTGGATACATGTGCTACAGTTCTTATTCATATCTTTGCTCACATTATATATTCTGGCATTCATTTATACATTAAAGACTATTGGGAAAAGGTCATAAAAGTGTTTACTTGCCTAGCATAAAACTGACTAGTTACTCATTTTCCATAGAAAGTTGAAGAGCAGGTCCGTTCTTTTTCCACAGTGAAATTTTATAGGTCAGCATTCTAGCATGTGTGTGTTTGTGTATGTTTATATATATTTATAGACATATATGGAAATAATTCGTGTATGAGGTGGCGGCTCATTTCGCTAAATGAGTTACCAAAGGATAATGGTGGCGAGATCCGCCCATTTGATATCACTTGTAAGTGGGCCTCACCTCACAATCTCTCTTTTGTTAAGCATATTTCAGGCCCATCCGTGCGAGCACGTAACACTTGTACGTCTCGTTTGGTATGTGGGCATTGAGTCAAGTGAGAATGGAATTCACTAAGGAATGGAATGAAATAAATTGGAACGGATTGTTCATTTCCATTCTCATGTTTGGTTGCAATTAGAGAATGAAGTAGGGAATGACTATTTTTATTTTTGGTATTGGATAGTTACTAATCAATCATGATATATTTGAAATTTATTGTAATTTTTTGATTCCCACTTAAAGTGGGAATTCCCATTCCCTAACATCTCAATGGGAATTGGTGAGAAGTGGATCTGACATTTCTAGCTTCCAAAAACATGTTGTGTTCGGTACGAAGGAAGGAGAAGTGGGAATTGGCATTTCATTCCCACTTATAACCGCCCACATACTAAGCAAGGCAATGAAATTTTATGTAAAAAAGAAACCTTCTACAGTGATTTAAAAAATAATTTTCCTCTTTCTGCATCATAATTTCATTCAGCAACTTAGATATTGTTTTTCTCAGAATCAGTGCCATCATTATTGTGGTAGTTTTATATTACTAGAACTGTATTTCAATTTGGGCTTGACAGGTATTGTTTTGCAGCTGGAACTGACATTGAAAAGAGAGTTTCCTATCTCGTTACATATCCCAGTCGAGGATGTATGTTTTCTTAAAAAATTTTAAGCTATTCTGTTTACTTTTATCTGCTTGGGAACCCCTCCCTTTTAACAGAGATTTTACATGCAATGCAGAACTTAGACATGAAAGTATTCAAACATCTCCTGTTTTGGGCCGAGGAGCAAACGTACTGGATTGCATCACGGTTTCTCATGCTGGGATTTGAGTTGGAACTCTATTCTGCTAATGAATACTGCATGGTTTACTGGTACATGTACATTGTGTTTATGAAGCTTTTAGAAAAGATGGAGATGAGAATAGGCATCAATGGTCATAACTGTAAGTGTTTATTGTTTGCATGGTATACTGCCGCTTCAGTTCTCAGTAGATTCTAAACTTTAAAGTCATTTTCTTTATTTATCTTTTTTATAGGGCTTTTTGTTTTTAGGTCCATTTGTTTACCTAGCTTTATCTTTAAACCCAAGAATTTTTAGTTGTATCTTTAAACCCAACTTTCTTTTTGTATTTATCTTTAAACCCAATTCCAAAATATAATACTCTCATATGTGGGTCTCCCTATATAAGGAAATTGGGTTTAAAGATAAAAACAAAAAGAAAGTTGGGTTTAAAGATACAACTAATAATACTTGGGTTTAAAGATAAAGCTAGGTAAACAAATGGACCTAAAAACAAAAAGCCCTTTTTTATAAGAGTGGTTGCAAAAATGGCCCAGGGAAGACATTTCCTAAAACCACTGGAACATAACAACCAAAAACATGCTTTTCTTCTAGTTCTGATCAATAAAAAAACTTACTTTACTCTTTTTACATCTAGATATTTCTCTGCTGAAAGCTGCTTCTGCAGGATTTCTTAAATATAAATGTCTTCTTTCAATTTGCTTCAGCAAAAATAAGTTGACATATATCTGAATAGTTCTTATTCAGGTTTTCCCATTAAACTTTATCTTCTTATGGTTAATTATGATTGTCATGTTTTTTCTCAACCTATTTGAACTTTCTCGGTTTATAAATCTTGCTGAATAGCCTCGCTTACATTTGGAGAGGATCATAGTCGTGTTGTGTTAAATGTAGATGACAAGACTGGTAGCTCCATGAATAAAAACTTTATTAATAGAAAGGATATTCTAGATAATGAACTAGCCTTTTTCTTCCAAAGGTGTTATTGTTCTCTGTTTTGTGTTTTATTTGTCTTTTTTTGCCTTTGTCCGTGCTTCAGCGTTCCTTTCTGACCCTTCCTTCATCTAGGAGAATTTTTAGGCATTGCCTCGTCTAGGCGCTTGCTTGGTAGAAATGGCTTAAGGCTTGACGGATTAATTTGTCGCTTAATTGCTCATCTATGCCTCCTTTTACAACCCTTGTCATGTTGCGCCACTCGTGAGATTTTCTCAACTCTTGTGTGGAGCCTTGTGCTCCTCACTAACCTGATTTTGGTGGAAAAAGGCTTAAATATTGAGGAAGAAGAGGGGCACAAGGATGGTTAATGTTCCCTGGACCACCTTCTGAGAGGGCTTATAATGTGAGGCACCTTAGGAAGTCTCCTATCAGTTCACCCATGAAAGCAAGTCCATTATGATACTGTGTCCCAAATGTTTATAGTTTCCTTCAATGATGCGCTTTACTGAGGGTTCAGTAATATCTTTTGAGAATTTTGGCTTGTATTGAATCATATGAGGAAGCTAGTTACAGTAGTTATTACTTCTGGGGTCACTGTCCTAATCAATCTTTTTCTAGTCAGAGTATCAGGTATTTTAAATAGTTAAATTTCTTAGGTGGCTGCTATTTGAAGTAGTTGTATGAATCATCAAAGCCAAGGTGTATTACTGCTAATTGTATGTAGTTATCTATTTCTGCTGTGTATCTATTTTATACAGCTCGAAGAAAAGGAATGAAAAAACGGGATCTTGTTAAAGATTCAACAAGAGATGGTCTAGTTTCATCTTCCTGCTTGTTACTGCAGTGTTATATTTATCTGTCAGAAGGGCTGGCAGCGGTAACAATTCTCTCCATTATTTGCCAAGATGCAATTATTTGCTTTGCCTTAACTGATCAGTATTATTTTTCATTGTAGTAGATGTTGGCGGCTTTACGTAATGAATGCAAGGCCTTTCAAGCTCCAAACACATTCAATTCGGAGCATGAGGTACTAAAATAGTTCTCTTTTGATTGAACCATAAATGCTTCCCCAGAGGGACAAGTAGAATTAAACTTGAACTTAGATAATCTGTGGGTTGAAATTTCATGGTGTTAGTCAATTAGAATTAGAACTAGGATAAAATGGGTAAGTCAAGTAGAACTGTATCAAAACTAGAATAGGGATAATGTCCCACTTTTATCATACCATACTCCCTTTAAAATTGTGAGTTCTGGTAAATCTTTTCATAGTCAATATTGCCCTTTGCCATTTTGGATATTACATTCTAATTTTATCCTAATTAGAGTTGTTTTTTTCTTTAAAAGACCTTTTTGGATATTGCATTCTAACCCTATCCTAATTTGAGTTGGTTTTTATCTTATCTTTAAAAGTATGACTTAGTTTTTAATGAAACCTTCACCAGTCACATTTGATTTGGGATACGGATTTATATAGTAGTAAAGTTTTGTGGTAAAAGGATATATTGTTTTATATAATAGGTGTCGTCTAGACATAATAGGAACAATAGTTGAATCACATTGATAAGAATGAGTAATAACCTTAAGGGTAAGAGACAAGTAAATTTTGAGTATACATGTAATTACAAAAAAGGGGCAACTAATGCATAAAACATAAATATATATCTTACACAATGGTACCCCCCCTCGCGGTCAGTTTGACTGCTTTATAGATTAGCACCCTAAACTTTAGAAATGTCGCTTAATCCTCCTTTGATTTTGTTAGATAACCCCCATAACTATCATTGTTAGATTTGATCATTTATATGAAAATCACGTGCGTCCAAATAATCAAAATTCCCCTAACAAAGAAATATATTTTCTTGTCTTTTATATTTATGAAGGTTTATAAAACCCCTTTAAGTTAAGGTTAGGGACTTAATTAATTTAGTCACCAATTATTTTATTTTTTTTCCTTAAGATCAAAACTATCACTTTTAAACCCCCCGCGCACCCCCCCCCCCAAAAAAAAAAAAAAAAACCCCAAAAAAAAACTTAAGTTTGACCACTTTATATTAGCTCCCTAAATTTGAGAAATGTCAGTTAACCCTTCTTGGATTTTTTTTTGATAACCTTTCTTGGATTTTTTCTGATAACCCTTCTTGGATTTTTTCTGATAACCCCTATAACTGTCACTATTAGATATGACCGTGCATATAAAAACCACGTGCACGTGCGTCCAAATGACCAAAATGCTCCTAATAGAAAAATTATTTTCTTTTTTAATATTTATTAAGGTATATAAAAACCCCTTAAGGTTAGGGACTTGTCACTAATTAATTTTAATTAATTTTAATGGTTAGAGTACTAATTAAAAGAGGATCTGTAGTCTTTTTAATCTAACATCGTTAGGAAGGTTAGATGGAAAAATTGAAAACGCTAGGGGTATTTTCCAAAACATTGCAAACTTAAAGAAAGGTTAAGTGACATTTATAAGGTTTAGGGAGTTATTGCAAAATTAGCTAAATATAAAAGGGGTTGTATGTCATCTTTAAACTTAAGGGGTTTATCTTAAAAATGGCCAAACTTAAGGGGACCTTTTTTAAATTGACCTTAAAATAAGTAAAATCTTCCTAAAAAATGAGATATCTGAAAGATATTATCATCGAGGAGTAATAGTATGAACATTAGTCTTGCAAATATTAACTGTAAAAAAATAATAGATCTAAAATTGTCTAAAATTAAAGATAACATAGAATTTTTCTTGCACATAGGTTTGTGCTCTCAAGTTACCAACAAGCTACTTCTTTTTTTGCTCCTTCCTCTTGCTAAATAAATTGGCTGGAATGCTAAATATATTTTTCAATTCACTAAACTCTCAAGTATCTAATAAACCCGAGCACGCACCATAACCATTTCTTTTTTAATTATCAAAATATTAGAACAAAATAATTGGAAGCTATAAAGAAGTTTGGTTTTGCATTGACGCACATTGAACGGAAGCATCTAGCTAGAAATGAAATACAAACTCGAACCAATCACAAATACCCTTTTCTTTTTCTTATTCTTTAATAAAATTTCATAAATTCGTGTTTAAACGTCTTTCGGTTATAATACAATTTTTTTACAATTTTGTCATTACTTTTATCAGGTTTAATGAGGATTTCTTCCTAGAGACTGCCTCTAAAGTAAGATCATTCTACAAAAACCACATTTGATATTGTCAATTTATACATAAACCACCTTTAAATGGTTTTCTGTTGCCATCAATCACCTAGACTCGCTTTTAAATCGAGTTTTTCTTGGTTTTGCTATAATAATAGTTGTCAAATATCAAGTAATATTAGAGAGATTATCCTTAATGGATGTTAGATGAGATCAATTATTGAAAAAATTAACTAAACAGTACGCCTAAGTGTTTTATGGCAACAAAAAACTGTTTAAAGGTGATTTGCGTATAAATTGACAATTAAGGGTGTTCTATGTAGAATGATGCTATTTTAAAGATGGTTTCTATGAATTTTTTTTTTACCAATCAAGATATTTAACCACATGCAATGCACGTGCATCGCACATAGTTTCTATACAAAACAGAGAATTCTGGTTTCTCAAATTATCCTATGTTTTTTTTAACTAGAAGTAGATCGTAAAAACCTCGATGTCTCATATTCCTTCTATTATTTTAAATTTTTTCATATTTATTTTAGTTTCTTCATTATCAGATCATGTCATCAAATCCGATCACCTATCTTTCTACTGCTCTCTTAATGTGTTATTTTTTTTATTTACCAAATTAGAACTGTATAATTAATTTAAAGTTAAAAACTACATAAATACGTAATTATTTAAAAAATAATTAAAATTGGGGTTTGAAGAAAAAGGTATGGGGGAGTGAAATAAGGAAAACTTTAAAAATTTTAGACTTGTTCTGCAGTAATTATTCAAAACAAACCAAAAGGTTAAAGAGTGTAATAATAGTAATTATTATCTTTAACAATATTCTTTTATTCTAGCCAATAGTTATTCAATATTAGTTAACCTGATAGCAAACAATTATTAATTATTTTTTAAGATATTAGTCCCTCAAATATGCAACAACCATATATTACTCCCTTAAATCTTTGAAATTGCTCATAAGTCCCTCTAATCTTAAAGGGTCACGCAAATTAGTCCTTCAATGACTAAAATGCCCCCAAAACTGAGGTTTGCGAACATAGGGTTTTTAGACAAAAACAAAAGCTGATGGTATTTTAGTCACGGAGGGACCAATGTGCGAGACCCTGTAGGAGTTGAGGGACTTATGAGCGATTTCAAAGAGTTGAGTGACTGATATGGAACTACTGAAGATTTGAGGGGTTAGTATCCAAAAACCGTAATTAATAATAGTAAGTCTAAAAGTATATACTGACCAAAAAAATGTCTAAAAATATATAAGTATATAATAGTATTTTCAAAATGCATATACTACTTAATCACACATACATTGTTTTACCCAGATATCTCGCTTTAAAAAAGTATTCTCAATTATTCACTAAAATATCCCACTTTAAAAAAATGTCATTTTAACAATGATCCCATTTCTTATGAAATTGTTCCAATTGACTAAATTTGTACTTATTGCATCTTATCTTGCGATTCCTAGAGATTCGTCCAGCACTTTGAGCTACTCCAGAAAGCTCAGATTCCAGAGAACATATCATATGACTTATTTAAGGAATCTACAGCAAATGCTCAAATATCAGTGAGTACTGATCCATCTCTTACAGCATTACTCTCTTCATACTTTGCCTCACAAAATTTAATTCACTGCATCTCTTTTAATATTACAGAACACAGCAAAGCACAATTATTTTAGAGAAGCCCAAAAGATTGCAGCATCACTTCGTGGCAGTTTCTCGAACCAGTCAGACAAACTACTGGAGCTCAGACAAATAGAGCAGGTTGCAGAGCACAATAGGATCGCTCTGAATGTAATCGACCAAGTTGGTGCCAATGATCCTTCCCTCAGGATCTCATTAGAGTCAACTCATCACCCTTGCTTTGTAGTAGCAGTGGTCAAGAGATCATAAAATACTCTTGATTGTTGTGCCAATTTTGAGTACTCAATAATGCCCCAGAAATGCTGGTGTTATAATGCGGTCTTCTGTAACATTGTGTTGTGCTATTTTAGTCCTTTATTTTAGTTCATAGGTATTATTTATTGATGTATCATTTTTTATGTATTATTTCCTCTTTGACTTAGTAGTCATGTATCGTTATTTTTTAATTGATGGTAACTTTTTGTTATTGATTGAAAGGCATTTAGCTTCGAAGATGTTGTCCATGATGTAAGAGGTGTCTATTGTGAACAAAGCAATAAAGCCTGGTGCTGGTTGCCATCATTTTTTTATAGGTTGTAGCGCATGATGAAGTATTTTTTTCCCTTCTTTTTTTTAAACTATGGAAGTAATTAGTACTCGAGCGTATTTGTACATCAGGTGCTTTTCTTCATGTCAAAATTATGTTAAGCATAGTGACGATGATCGCATGTTTGCAGCATTAACCGGCTGGAAAGTGTTATCACATATTTGCGGAGATGCAGGCATTTGGGCAGATTGTCAGTAAATAACATGTGGTGTTAAATTTCTCTTTCTGGATCTGCAATCAGTAATGTCAATCCCTTACCTACTGTTTGGCTTAAAGAAATAAGCGTAGACCTTCCCATATATGGCATTTTACCGATCATCATGCATTGTATTTTGTTCTCTCACTGATTTGTTGCTATAAGGGAAGTGCATGCTGATCTTTCGATTTTGTACTTTTCTTGGTGTTTATTATATCTTAACTTGTTAAGAGTTGGTCGGTGGCAAAATGTCTTTCGAAAAATATGAGGTGAACCTTATCATGATATCGTCTTCTTACGCTGATATGCAACAGTTGACCTTATATGATGAAAGCCGTTAGAGGTAGATTATGAAGGTGATTAATTCTGCATAGGCGTTATGATTAGTCTTGTAATATGTGAAATGACGGGATCGGTGTAGACTAGTTTTAGAATCGAAAAGAGATGATCCGGCTGAAATGGAATGAGTTAATGCACATAATAAGAATAATGACAGCTGCAGTATCCTCTAACTACTTTTACGCTATAAGAGAAGCGTGAGCTTCTTTGATAAGTCATCAACTTAGAAAAAAAGTTAAAAGTGAATGGACTTCACAATTTTCTCTCTCTTTATTTCTCCTTCTCTTTTATAGAGTAGAAGTAATGTAGAAGTCGTAGTGTAGTTTGAATCATGGCAGTGGTGGAGAAGAAGGAACAAAGAAGAAATAAAAGGAGTAATTTTTTGTTAAATCCCCAATAAGCCTTTGGCAACCCTCCTTTGAGACTCGCTTAACTGCCAATAATTTAGCAAATGCAGAAGACCCCTGAAGTTTTTTCCCCCACTTAAGCCCCACAAGCGATGTTAGACGATATGGTGAAACGACCGAATATATTTTTTCCATTAAAAAACTAATTACTAAATTAATGAATTCAATAAGGTTTCAATTAAATTTATTCCTAAGACTACTTAAATTAAGGAAAGGAAGAAAAGGAAATCGGGTTCTCCCAGGTTCGGGCACTAGCGCTTTAGGGGTGGGGGGTGCAATGCAATATCCTGCCAAACGGACAAATTTTCAAAATAAACCTATTTTATTTTTTTATTAAAAAATTCGACCCACTCCTATTTTAATTATCAAAAGCGACCCATTTCGTGCCACGTCAGCAGCGTGACCACGAAATAGGTCGGTTTTTTTAATGACACCGCTAAATAATCGGGGTTGCTAACCCCGACTATTTAGCTATGTCGGGGTTGACAACCTCGACTATTTAGCTATGTACCTGCTAAAATAGTTGAGGTTTCCAACCCCGACTAATTTAGGATCCTGTCTAATTGGTCGGGGTTGGCAACCCCGATCATTTCGAAAGCTCATTTCGAAATGGTCGGGGTTCCCAAACCCGACCATATGGCAGAGACCTCTGGCCCAGTCGCCAAGAGGTAAAAACGGCTAAGGGACAATAGTCGGGGTTCACAACCCCGACTATTTGTTAACTGGGCCCGCCCCCTATATAAAGGTCACGACTTCATTCTCCCCAGCTCCCGTTCGGTTCCAGCTGCCTCTCTCTCTCTCTCTCATTTTCGTCGTTGTCCTCCCCCCCAAACTCTCTTTGAGCCACGGATCTCAGCATTCAACCTCAAGCTTTATGCGGAATTTCAGCGTGAAAGATCTAACATGTACTTTCTCTTCCTTCTCTCCTCTTTTGACACGTAGAAATCTAGAGTTTTCCTTCATTCTCCCCAGCTCCCGTTCGGTTCCAGCTGCCTCTCTCTCTCTCTCTCATTTTCGTCGTTGTCCTCCCCCCCAAACTCTCTTTGAGCCACGGATCTCAGCATTCAACCTCAAGCTTTATGCGGAATTTCAGCGTGAAAGATCTAACATGTACTTTCTCTTCCTTCTCTCCTCTTTTGACACGTAGAAATCTAGAGTTTTCTCTCCAAAACGAATTTATAGTGTTTGAATTCTATTTGTAGTGGTTTATTTAGATTTTTTTTTGTTGTAGTTGAAATTAAACATTTGAGGCATAGAATACTCAATTTTAGGGTTTAGGATTTGGGGGTCAATTTTATGGTTTAGGATTTGGGGATTTACGATTGTAATTGGGTTTTAGGGTTGTAATTAGGGTTTAGGGTTGTAATTAGGGTTTAGGATTGTAATTGATAATATTTTTTAAATTTTTTGCATTTAAATGATATAAATTTGTTTTGCATAGGTTGAACAATATGATTTTTATTGCTTGCTCTTATGGTGGAACGATTAATTATGGAATGAATAATATGCCAATGTACGTCGGAGGGGTGACAATCCCGTTAATGATATCAGAATCATATAGTTACCTTGACTTGGTTAATGAATATCATGGAGTTACGACAATTGACCCACGAGTGTATCGACTAAAAATAATATGCAATTGACCGATAACTTATGATAGAACGTCCTCAGTTGAGATCTCAAACGATCATTCGATGAGTATTTTGTTTAATTTGAGCAAGTCACAACCAACGGTAGAATTGTTTATTAAAACAGTGCCACATAGTACGGGCCAAATATTCAACCCTCTAGGAGAATTCTCACGCATGTTATATTTGGGAGTTGAGTCTGAAAGCTTTCTTTCTTCTTCGAGTAAAATGCAGCAGACTCAATTTTAATATCACAGTGGTGCACCTTCATTAGAAGAGGATGAAAGAAGTGACGCCTCTGATGGTGAAGATGAAGATAGTGCACCACTTGACAGCATGCAATTTGTGGGTGAAGATGATGAAGAGAATCCGGATTGGCCAGATGAAGCTTATGTTAATAATGAATGTGTTGAGTACGAAGAACCACCCCCCGACGAGTTTGATGATGATGAGTGGGTTCGTTCTTCCACAATACATGATATGCGCATTGGCGAAAGTTCATCCAATAGAGGAGATGATGAGGAGGTCCCTTTCAGAGTTGGTGAATTATTTGAGACTAAAGACCAATTAGTTGATGCTATTTGTGATTACTCAATCAAAAAGTTAGTCAAATTCAAGCAAATTAAAAGCAATCGCACAAGTTTTGAGGCAATCTGTTTTATGAATACACAAAGGCAAGGTCGGGCAGAGGGGAATGAATCTGATTACGTATGTCCTTGGAAGTTATATGAATTTGTCGGAAAGAAACATAATGAGTATTTTAGGATCACAAAATACTACGGTGTTCACACATGTAACAATCCAATGTTCGAGAGAGACCACAGTGGTGCCTTCGCCTCTTAGATAGCTCGGTTGATTATGCCAAAATTAAGGAAGAAGCTTGAACTAAAGCCCAATGACATAATTGAGATAGTGTCACATGATAAGTGGATTGAAATATTGTATATCAAAGCATGGAATACAAGGAGAATTGCGATGACAAAAATATTTGGTGATTGGGAGAAGTCTTACGTGACTCTGCCTCAATATCTTGATGCGATCAAAAGAAGCAATCCTGGATCTGAATACAAACTCATAACCAAAGAGTTCAATCCGGGAGTTCATAAATTCACCTCTGTATTTTGGGTATTTGGTCCTTCGATCGAGGTATTTAAATTTTGTCGGCCGATCCTTAGCATTGATGGGACACACTTATATGGTAAATATAAAGGTGTATTGCTTGTCGCTACAGGAGTAGATGCAGATGGAGGCTTATTTTCTTTGGCCTTCGCAGTTATAGAGGGCGAGAATAGTAAAAATTAGGAGTGGTTTTTTTCTTACATCCAATTATATATTTTTAATGTGTTGCCTCCTAGAAAAATTACTTTTATATCCGATAGGATGAAAGGATAGGTACTTTACCTCGATTCCCTGGTAAGGGACCGAGGCGACCTTTCACAGGAACCTTGGAGGTTGAAGGGTCTGTTTTCATACCTGACCCTACCGGAGGTGCCGGGGTAAGGGGAACAGGATTTGGCCTTGGTGAAGGTTGGGCAGCAACTTCTTTCACTTTTGTCTTAGGCGTTGGGTTCGCCTTTAGCATCCACGTCTGTTTGAATTTTGGCGGAGTCTTGACCGCCTCTTCTTTCTGCATATCCTCTGCTTTCTTCAAGAGAGCTCGGGCATGCACAAGCAGTGCACGGCGCTTCCTGATTCTCTCTTCAAGAGTGGAGCGATTCCTTGTAACACGCACCCACTTCACCGCTATTGCTTACGACACATTAGAGCTAATTTTAAAAAGAGCTTTGGTCAAGTACATCTACAAAACTTTCTTTGGCAAGCGAGTGAAGCATTGTTGGGTCAAGTTCCTCACATGAGGGGTGGAAGGATCAAACTTGAATGATTGAGAAACAATTACATGAATGTTTCGATCGATGTGACCGAGGAGATCGTCAAGATGTATACCCGTGCATACATACTTCACATGATCAGTACTATTCTTTTCCCGGATTCCACAAAGGATTCGGTGCACGTGAGGTGGTTGCCACTCCTGGAAGATATTGTGGATTGTGGGGGATTTTCATGGGGGAGTGCCGTGTTAGCGTATCTGTATAGGGAGATGACCAAAGTGGCTCTTGTTCAAAACAAAGAATTTAAGCGTTGTCTCACTCTGCTACATATATGGTCTTGGGAGATATTGCATTTGGGTTGCCCAGATTTGAGAGAGACACGTGCTCTCGATGGCCATATTCCCTTAGGCTGCATGTATTACTAAGTTATTTTGAAAGATATGCTCAATTTACTAATGATATATTCTGCAGAAAACTACAGATATGCTGATTTGAAATAATTGATATATTATGTGAAGGTTTCTTTGAGTTTTCATATTAATTAATCATGCTTAAACCCTAGGTTTATAATACCTAAGTAAGAT